CAAAGCAGATACTTGAGAGAGAGTGGGAGTGTCAGCTAGGTGGGAGCCAACTGGATGTAGAGGGGGATGAGGAGGCAGCAAAGGAGACAGCCAGGTGGCAGTCTACACTCTATCTCAAGCTTCCCTGGGTTGACTGGGTTTAGTGGGGTGGTTCTTCTGCTGGCCTCCCTGGGAACCTGGTATAGTCAGATGGCAGCTGGAGCTGGAGCCCCAGCCAGGCTGGAACATGCTTCACCGTGGCATGTCTGGTACCTCAGTGCTCCTTCCAGGACATGCCTCCCCACATGTCATCTCATTCTCCAGGTCCTTTCTTTCCAGCAAGGTCATCAGACGTCCCGCATGATGACTAGCTTCTAAGAACACAAAGCAAAAGCTGCTAAGTCTTCTTATGGCTTCAGCACTGGCACTGAATTCTGTTAAGTAAACTGTGTCACGGGACCAGCCCAGAGTCAGCATGGTAGGGGACTGCACCAGGACACCAGTACCAGGCAGCTGGGTACATTTGCAGGGGAGGTGGGGGAGCACCACAGTGAGTTGGCCGCAGTCACCCAGCTAGTAAGTGAGAGAGCCGGATGTGGCCCCAGGTCTGTCTGACCCTGCATCCCATGCTTTTAACTCATACCAGCTACCACTGGTGTTAAGCACAGGAATGGGGGAGGTCATGGTGGTACAGGATGGGTGTTCCAGAATTACACTTGTCAAGGTGATCTGGATCTTGTAGCCCTCTTGACACTGTGTACCATCACTCAGGAGGCTCAGTGGTAAAGAATCCACCTCCAGTACAGAAGATAGAGGAGACACGGGTTCAGTCCCTAGGTTGGGAAGATCCCCTGGATGAGGAAATGGCAACCCACTCCAGTATTCTTGCCTGGAAAAATCCCATGGACAGAGGAGCCTGGTGGGCTATAGTCCATGGGGTCGCAAAGAGTTGGACGTGACTGAGCACACATACATTACCTTCCTCATTTATCATCCTTCCTCAGACTCCTTCTGAGACTTTCCTTTTTCTGCAAACTGGGAAAGCAGTCAATTGCCCAAGGACACAGGAAGCGCATATACAGCTCCCAGCAGGGTCTCCTTAAGTCAGTGCTAGTATGTCTCCTGCCACTCAGACCAAAGGGCAGCGGATGCGAGTTCTTAGTGGGGCATGTGATGGCCAGGCATCCCTGTTGGACCCTCCTGAGTAGAGTCGAGGGAGGGGTGGGGTGTACATCCTGAGACCTCCAGTCATGCTGAGTGTCAGAGCCAGGCTGGACCGGGCTCCTGTCTTCCACCCGGTGCTGGCCTGGCCTGCACCAGGCGTGTGACTCACCTCCACTTCTCTTCTCTCTTCAGCAAATGGAAAGGATCCTGAAGAAAGCATCCAAAACCCACAAGCAGAGAGTAGAGGTGAGTCACGTGCTGCTGGGGGAGACTGGGCCACATAGGGGCCAGGCTGGGCCGAGAGGCTGGAGCCTGGCAGAGGAGCCACTGGAGTGCTGGCAGATTTACCCAGCCTCCCCAGGGTCATTTAAGGGCAGGGCATCCAGAAGGCCTGGCAGGGTGGATTTGAGCGGGGATGGGGGTTCACTGCAGAGAGACAGAACGTGGAGAAAGGGGACTGGGCACTGCTGACATGGTATTTCCCCTCGGCTTTCCCAGGACTTCAACAGACACCTGGACACGCTCACAGAGCACTATGACATTCCCAAAGTCAGCTGGACCAAGTAGCAGGCCCACCCCAGATACCGGGTGGCATCAAGGAGGAGCAGAAGGCAACGTCGCGGTTATGTTTGGGGCCTTGGTATTTTCTAGAAACATTGTTGTGCACACATCCTTGCATCTTCTGCTGAGACAGTGCTTTTCAAAGCTGTGTGTCCTCATTCTGGAACTTGATTAAAGTAAGACTGTCCTTTTCCTCAGTTTTGATTTCTCAGTAGTGCATAGAAGAGAGACCTCTTTAGTTTGGAAGGTTTATCCAGAGATGAAGGTTATTTCTGGGTAAGTGCCATGGAAAAGTGTTCTTAACCCCAAATTGCCTCTGACTCTTTGACAGCCAGCCAGCTGAAGGCCAGACAGCCTGGGAAGCAGAACCACCACCTAAGGCACCGATGGGACACACACCTTGTCCCTTTCTGATCCTGTGGCCGGCGTGTAGCCTCTTCTCCCAGCATCCCCATTCCAGACATGGGTCTAGTGGGTGTCACCATGGCAGACATTGCCGGTCAACACAACTTTCTTTGTAAGGGAACCCAGCCAGACACAGCCTGCCATTTTACCCTCAACTGTGGGCTCCAAGCAGCCCCCCGTATTTATTCAGAGTTGGTACTTTACACGTTTGGCATTCACCAGGGCAGAGCCCCAGCACAGACAGACGTGCACACAGCTGAAAGGAAGGACTCGGGTCCCCATGCTGCAGAGTCAGGATCTTCGAGGGCCTCTGTGTGCCCACCACATGGGGATCAAATTGCATTTGCTATTGGGAGAGAGTGTGCTGACAGAGATGCTGAAGGAATAAGAAAGGGAAGAAAAATCAAGTATTGACTGCCACATGTGGAATGCAGAATAAAACAAAAAAGTTATTAAGTATAAGTCTGAGTAGCTTAATTATAGGCTGTCTGAGTATCACTAGAAATGTTGCCTCTTGTATTATCACTCACAAAGAATGTACATACTGCAAAACCACTATCCCCCCTTCAATTTGGAAAAATTAGATGACACATGTTTTCACCTATGCTTTGCAACCCACCTAAGGGAGGTGACGTACTGTCTCATTAGCAGTGGCTCTTTGGGGCAGATTCCCCCATTGACTGGAAGGCGCTTTCAGGCTTTTACCACCCATGGGTCAGCAGTTGGGGTCTTCAAGCATGATGTGGTGGTGCTGTGAAAAGCATGCACTGACAGTGGGGAAGACAGTATTCCAATTCTCCCTGCCCATCAGACCACTCCAAAACAGAGAGACTGAAAACAACGGGATTTCTCTCTCATGATTCTGTGGGTTGACCAAGCTCAGCTGGGAGGTTCTGCTTCATGCGGTGTAGTTTACTTCATCTAGGTTACAGTGACTTGCATGGTGCCAGAGGTCTTCCAGAATCTCTTCTCGTAACCTATTCCGTGGGGCCAACACAAGTTACTGCGAGACCTTCTCTGGGAGGGAACTACACAGGGCATGGACAACCAGGAGATGTGGTTTATTGAGGCCCCACAGTCTACTACAGTGGCTCAAAATCTATGGTAGGCTCCCCTGGGGAGCATTAAGAACCACTGATGCTGGGACTTCCCTGGTGGTTCAGTGGTTAAGAATCTGCCCTCAGGCGCAGGAGACGTGGGTTCTATCCCTGGTTGGGGAACTAAGATCCCACATGCTTTGGGGCAGCTAAGCCCAAGCGCCACAAATAGAGAAGTGTACACACCCAACAAAGAGCCTAAACCCTGCAAGAAAGACCCAGGGCAGCCAGAATCAAAAAACACTCCGGTGCTTTGTGGGTGGGCTTCCATCATTGAGGTTTTTCAAGCTCCCCAAGTGACCCCAGTGTGCAGCAAAGTTTGAGAGATTCCAGTCTAGCACAATCAGCATGGTCTTTTTTTGAGATGACACAGAGTTCACACAGTTCATTGCAGCTTCCCTGGGGCTCAAACAGTAAAGAATCTGCCCACAGTGCAGGAGACCCAGGTTCAATCCCTGAGTCAGGAAGATCCCCTGGAGAAGGTAATAGCAACCAACTGCAGTATTCTTGCCTCGAAAATTCCATGGCCAGAGGAGCCTGGCAGGCTACAGTCCATGCAGTCGCAAAGAGTCAGACACAACTGAGCAACTATGGTCCTATACATTCACTGCCAAGGATGAAATTCAGGTGTGATTCAAATTCCTCCACATATGGAGAAAAGTAGTAGGTTACAAGTAATTTATGTGTAGTGTTGGGGGCTTCACTGGTGGCTCAGACTGTAAAGAACACCTGCAATTTTGGAGATCTGGGTTCAGTCCCTCGGTTGGGAAGATACGGGGAGGGGCATGGCAACCCAATCCAGTATTCTTGCCTGGAGAATCCCAGGAACAGAGGGTCCTGGGGGCTACAGTCCATGAGATTGCAGAGTCAGGCACACTGAGCAACTCAGCCCAGCACACATGCTGTGACAGTACTTTTGGCACCCGGAAGGCTGTTTCCTCAAAAGATTTTGTCCTCCTAGCCCTGCTGACACTGTATTAAACATCTAAAATGCCCAGTTGCCACTGTTCAGTCGCCAGTCCTGTCTGACTCTTTACAACCCCATGGACTGCAGCACACCAGACTTCCCTATCCTTCACTATTTCCTGGAGTTTGCTCAAACTCCTATCCAAGGAGTCGATAATGCCATCCAACCATCTCATCTGCCTCCCCTGTCTCCTCCTGCCTTCAACCTTTCCCAACATCAGGGTCTCTTCCAGAGAATTGGGTCTTCACATCAGGTAGTCAAAGTATCAGAGCTTCAGCATCAGTCCTGATGAAAATTCAGGGTTGATTTCCTTTAGGATTGACTGCTTTGATCTCCTTACTGTCCAAGGGACTTTCAAGAGTCTTCCAGCACCGCAGTTCGAAAGCTTCAATTCTTCGGCGCTCAGCCTTCTTTATGGTCCAACTCTCACAGCCATATATGACTACTGGAAAAGCCATAGCTTTGACTGTATGGATCTTTTTCAGCCCAGAGCAAGCCTGAAAAGGAAATGCTCCATAATGGGAGTTGTTACCTCTCCTGGGTGGTTTTTCTTTTTGCCTTATGTTTTTGTCATTTCCTCAGTTTTTTTTTCAGTGAGATATTTGTAATTAGAAAAGAGACATGTTTTTCTAAAACACTGCAATAAATTAGGCAAGAATGAGGCCAGGTAAAATATGATTTCTTAAGATAGTTGGTGTCAAAAATGCTCTCTTGTCTGCATTGTGCAAGAATTCTTCCAGCCCAAGATTCACTTGATAATCTTTAAAGATTTGTCTGCAAAATCTTGGCTGTTTGCATACCAGTGCCAAACAGAAATACTGAGACAGTTATGGAGGAGAAAGAAAGAGTGGCTTTATTACTTTGCCAGGCAAAGGGGGAACACAGTATGCTAGCATCTCAAGAACTATGTCCCACCCCACCGCCACCAGCCCCCAGTGAGCAGGGAAAGGTTATATAGTCAGGCTGCATATGTGATAAGGATCAAGGCGGTAACAGTCTTGTATTTTTGCTTCTGCAGGGTCCTAGGTGGTTCATCTTCTAATCTTGTTGAGTCTCTGTCTCAGGTGGTTTTGTTGCTGCTTCTTTGATTAGCAACTCTTCTGCCCTTTGGAACGGAGAGAAGGTCAGGGAGGCCAAGAGCTCTGCCTACAAGGAATGGGGGACAAAAGGACCTCCATGCCCTGGAGTCCCACAGGGCCCTGCTCAGCATCAATTCTACTTTTCTTCTCTGTGTTTTGTTATAATTACATCTCTACCCCAAGTATAGTTATAATCACAGAGTTGCAAAAACTCTCTTTCAAAACCCAAAATGGAGGTAATAGGGAAGATAAAAAGATAAATGAGAGGCAGGCAACCTGGGTAAATGGTTCTGACACTGCTGGCTGGACTGGGCCCAGGGTACTGGGATGGTTCATTGGGATGAAATGCAGGGATTTTCCAGTGTTCATAAAGCAAAAGAGATATAATTGAATTAGATTAATCAGGAATCACAATCTGCATTACCCACACTAACCGCCAACTATAGTAATCACGTTTTTTTTGCCTAGGTTCGGTGGGGTGTGGTGTTCAAGAGATCATTTCAGGCAGTAAACTGGCACACTTGTTCATTGACAAGTGTTAACACTGACAGGTGACAGGCACTGTTATAAGACTCGACTTAGGGCCATTAAGAGAGTTTGTCTGACCTCTTTCCAAGTAACCACCTGCTTTGTTGCCGCTGTTCAGTTGCTAAGTTATATCCAACTCTTTGCAACCCCATGAACTGCAGCAAACCAGGCTTCCTCGTCCTTCACTGTCTGCTCAAATTCACATCCATTGAGTTGGTGATACCATCCAGCCATCTTACTGCTCCCTATAAACCTACACAGCATTTTAAAAAGCAGAGACATTCCTTTGCCAACAAAGGTCCGAATAGTCAAAGCTTTGGTTTTTCCAGTAGTCATGTATGGATGTGAGAGGTGGACCATAAAGAAGGCTGAGCACCAAAGAACTGATGCTTTTGAACTGTGGTGTTGGAGAAGACTCTTGAGAGTCCCTTGACCTGCAAGGAGATCCATCCGTCCATCCTAAAGGAAATCAGTCCTGAATATTCATTGGAAGGATTTATGCTGAAACTGAAGGTCCAATACTTGGGCCACCTGATGTGAAGAACTGACTCATTGGGAAAGACCCTGATGCTGGGACAGATTGAGGGCAGGAGGAGAAGGGGACAACAAAGGATGAGATGGTTGGATGGCATCACCAACTCAATGGACCTGAATTTGAGCAGGCTCCGGGAGTTGGTGATGGACAAGGAAGCCTGGCATTGCTGCAGTCCATGGGGTCGCAGAGAGTCAGACACGACTGAGCGAATAACTGATAAAGGGTGTCACAATTGGTGACTGTATATTTGTTTCCTAGACTTCCCCACCAGACTGTGAGTTCCGTATGGCTCTAGGTGGGTTCCACCACCAGGATCTCTCATCTAACTTGGCCCGCAGAGTGGGAATTTCCAGCTGCTATGGCTTCGCCCAGCCGGGCACCATACAATGCCCTGCTTCAGAGGGCCCCGCCCGCCGCCTCCAGGCCTCCCCCCGCCCCGCCCCTCTAGACTTACTTCCGGGATGCTTGAGGGAGGAGCGGGAAATAGGGCACATCAGACAAACTGCGCCTGTGCACAGTGCACCCTGCGCCGGCGCATTCTTGACCGCTTCGCCTCGGCCGGACATAACGGTCCGCGCGCGGCTCCCCCGACCGGAAGTGGAGACGAGCTGTCGCGGGGTGCGCCCGGCCCGGCTCACCGCCTGGCAGTCCCCGCTGTCGCCGCCGCCCTCGGCCACTGCCGAGGCTTTCCGCAGCCGCCATGTCCGCCAGTGCCGTCTACGTGCTGGACCTGAAGGGCAAGGTACCAAGGGCTCCCAACCCTCCGCGTTGCCAGGCAACCGGCGGGGGCCTCGCCCCGTGGGGACCCACCTTGTTGCTAGGTAACCGTCCAATGGGAGCCACCTTGGTCTTAGGCACAGAAGCCGTTTGGCCTCACCTGAGGACTCCACCCTTTTGCTGGGTATCCAGGAAGGGGTCTTAGGTCCGCGAGCCCTGCCTTGCTGCTAGGTAACGCGGTGGGCTGCCGCAGTTGCCGGATAACCGACTGCACGACCCTCATCCCCACCCCTGTGAGTTGGGGGTTTTAGGCCTCTGTGAGGCCCGGGGCAACCGAGGCGGTGAAGAGCGTTGGCCGCAGCTGGCTGGGAAGCCAATCCTGGCGCCAAGGGGCTGCGCGACCCTTGACCAGAGGTGGTGAAGCGTGTCGGGGACAGTGTACCTTTGGGCCAGTGCCGCCCTCTGGGAGCTCGGCCCGTTCTGTTTATCCAGCGATTTTTGTGTTTTAGTCCTTTGAAGCAATTTCTTAATGTGACACTTGAGTTACCAGGGTTAGGTGAGGTGGTTGGCGGGAGTGCTATTTTCGCTGAGGGAGAGACTGAGACACAGAGAGGTGATACAAAGCGCCCAGAGTCACATCGGTCACAGAAGAGTGGCAGGTCTAGGAGCTGAACCCAGAGTCGTTTGTTCATTTAGCTGATATTTGAGGAGCACTTACTAAATGCCAAGCAGGGTGCTAAGCTTCAAGCTGCCTTTGGTGAGAGAAACCAGAGTCAGTTCCTGAACCTGGTCCTTCTGGAGCCCACGATCTGGTGAGTGGGAGGGACACTGATCTCAAAAAGCACAAACAAATGTAAATTGCAGTGGTGGAGCAGTGAGGATCTAACAGAGTCAGCCTCCACTGGGGATAAGGAAGCACTGCCCAAGGGGAGTGACACGCTGGCTGGAATAGGAAGGAGCAATAAAACCCTAGGACCCATTCCCAGGGGGCCTTTCCCCGGGGGATTTCTAGGAAAGCTTTTTATATGAGGGAACTCAGAGTCTTTCAGAAGTGGCCTGCTGCCTTACCCCAAGTCTGTCCTGGCTAGAGGGCAAGTGAGTATCTGGTCTCTTGCATTGAGGAGTAACAAGAATAGGACAGTTTGTTGTCAGATAATTGCTTTACAGTGTTGTGTTGGTTTCTGCATGTATCACCATGAATCAGCCGTTGGTATACACATGTTCCCTCTTGAACTTCCCACCCACCTCCAACCCCCCACCCCATGTAGCATGTGTTCTTGATTCCTCCCTGGCCACCATGTCAACAGAGGTCCCGCAGGCTGCCTCCTCAGATCACTTATTTCTCCGACAAACATTTCATGAGCACCTAGCATGCGGCATGAGCTCAGAGGCTGAGCTCAAAACCTGCCCCTGCTGCTCAGTTGCATGACCTCGGGCAAGCGTGTGAAGTCGCTGAGCAGGCACATGAGACAAGCACAGCACCACCCATGGTCCACAGTGCCCTTGAGGTCTTGTAGCGGAGGCGCGTGGAAGCTGACAGATCCAAGCAGATGCATGGATCCCGATGATCAGTTAGCCACCACAGCAAGGTCAAGGCCCTCAGGTGATGCAGTTGCCCAACCTCAGTGTGGGTTGGCAGGAGAAGTGGTTACAAAAGGCTTCCTGGAGGAGAGAGATGCCAGTGCTGGGCAGGTGACCAGGCGGCAGTCAGGTCAACGAGGAGGTGTCACAAGAGGCCACAGGGTGAGGGGCAGCCCGCTGAGGCTGGGTGGCCGTGGGTGATGCTGGAGCCGGAGGAGGGACCCAGAGGGCCGTGGGTGAAGGGCGTTCAGGTGGGAGAGCAAGAGGAGACCACCTCGATCCCAAGAAGGAGCAGCTGCCATGAGGAGACTGTAGCCTGGGAGAAGCCTGATTATATCTGTCTTTCAGAAGAGGCTGCGTGGGTGGGTTTGCCTCCCATCCTCCCTGACCATCCCACGTTTATTATTCCACTCCCCATGAACTTCATGTTTTGAAAGTCTGCCTTCTGCAGAAACTGCATTCAATAAAAAAGGAAGGAATGGCACATCAAGGAAATTCACAACCACACGTCTACCTGCCAACCAGCACCTCTGATCTCCAAGAAATCCAGCGCGGCCACATTCAGCTGGTGGAAAGCCCTCCAGGACACTTTGCCCTTACCTTTCTTCTCTGCAGCTTCTAACACCACTACTGTGCTCCTCCTCAGCAGGCTTCCATCGGCCTCGAGGTTGCTGTGCCTCTGTTTCCCCTGTTTCTCTCACTGCTCCCGCTTCTCTCCTGCCCTCCCCTCGGATGTTGGCTCCTCCTGCTTGGGCCTGGCATGCCTCACATACTGTTGCTCTACTTGGGATAGGCTTTGACTCATTCATTCATTCATTCATTCATTCCTATTTTTTGGCCATGCCTCACCACCTGCAGGATCTTAGTTTCACGAGCAGGGGTTGAACCTGTGTCCCCTGCAGTGGAAGCACAGTGTCTTAACCATTGGACTGCCAGGGAAGTCCCAAGGGGCATGCTTTGATTTCTGTCACTGTGCCAATGACCTCTGAATTTGAATCAAAGTCCGGAGCACTCATCTGGAGATCTGCGGGCCTTCAGGACACCCTGGAAGTCTCACAGCCATCACAAAGTCGGCATTTCCCCAGATGAGCTCCACACTACCCCCCAGCCCTGCTGCTACTACCCCCCCCCCTCCATCTCAGGGAGTGACACCACCAACCACACTGCCCGTTTAGAGGCCTGGGCATTATCCTGCCCTTGTTTGTCTCACCGCCACGCTCACTACAGAGATGTTTACTGAGCAGCTGCTATGGGCCAGGATCCGAGGCCGCCCTCACTCTCCTTAAGCGGTGCTCCTAGGTACCCACCATGGGTACCTCCCGTCCCATGGCTCTAGTTCCCCTGGTCCCTCTGCCTCTGTCCCCCTGTGGTCTGAGGCCTCAGTTTGAAGGTCACACCCTTGCAGAGTCTCACCTCCCTTGAAGCAAATAGCTCGATCCTGGGACCCGTTTGTCCTGGTCACCCTGGTGCCCCAGGCCCAGCGTAGTGGGTGGCAGAGGGCATGAGCACGTCGGCCTCTGCAGCCCGTGTGATGAACGTGAGCAAACTATGTTGCTCCCTGCTGTTTTCTCAGAATATACTGGGGCCGCAGGGGCTCCATGCCAGTTGCATCCCCCAAAGTTGGATAACCTGGAGTAGAAGGTGGGCTTGAAAAGCCCAGGGGAGCAATGTTTATTGAGTGGAAGTGGCCCTGCAGGGAGTGAGAAGTGGGATTAGAACTCGGGCTCACCTTTGTTCACTGTGTGACCTCAGGCAGGTGGTGCCACCTCTCTGGACATCACTGTTCATCACTTTAAAAATATCAGTCCTGCTTCATAGTAGAGGGGATTTCTATGAGGCAGCATATACTCCTGGCAAAGAATATACGAGAGGGTACGTCGTAGTCCCTGGGCCGGGTACCCACAAGCTCACCCACTGGGTGCTGGGTCTCTAAGGGGCCTTCTGAACAGCAGTGAGTGCACAGGGTCCCTTGCCCATAGGCCACAAAGGAGAGACTAGGATAGGAAGGTTCTTTCTCGGTCACTCACTTGACCACTCTCTCTCTGGCTTGCAGCAGTAAGACGATGTATTTTATGAAGCTAAGACTCTGGGAAGGAAATGGCAACCCACTCCAGTATTTTCCCATGGACAGAGGAACCTGGCAGACTACAGTCCGTGAGGGTCACAAAAGAGTCGGACAGGACTTAGCAAGCATACGACAACGAAGGTCCTGAGGCAGGCAGTCCTCAGGCTGGTCGGCGCAGTGGTGTCGTATTTGCGCATTACTGCGTCCTGCAGCTGGCTGTGCTCAGCGACACGTGGGAGCAGCAGCTGCTCTGGGCAGCGTCTCCAAATAGAGCCGTGCTCACCATGGCGTAGCTTCACACCTCCTTTCCTTTCCTTCAGTGAGTTACGTGTAACAGACTGTGCTTACATAAAGCATATTGTTTGATGAATTCAGTCATTGTATACACCCAGAAAACCATAGGCACACGCTCTGTTACTTCCTAAAGGTTCCCCACACCCGTCCATGTCCAGCCTGTCCCCAGGCAGCCACTAATGTATTTTCTGTTACCGTTTCCCAGGGTGTGTTTAAGTGGAATCACAGTTATGGTCTCCATTGTCTGGTTTCTTCCCCTTGGCTCAGTGATCCTGAAATTCCCTCCTGCTGTCACCAGTGTCAGTAGTTATTCCTTTTCATAGCTGAGCAGTTTTCTGTAGTGTGGATGGACACAATTTTTGTCTCCACTCACCTGTTGGAGGATATTGGCATTCTTGCCAACCTGAGTCTACTTAAAATAATGTGCTGTGAGCATCCACACATGTGTCTTCAGGTGGATGTCTGGTTTCCTTTCTCTTGGGTAAATACCTAAGAAAGGAATGGCTAGGCTATAAGCTGATTTTAGCTTTCTGAGAACCTGTCAAACTTTACCAAAGTGGTTGTCCCATTTAACATTCCCATCAGCAGTGCTGCACATCTGGACCCATGAGAAAGAGATAAGGAGATGGGTTTCTTTTCAGGCCACAGGCGGGATCTGGTAGGTGTGCACACTAGCAGTGTCCCTCTCCTGGCAGAGACAGAAGAGCAGGGTGCATGAACACCGAAAGGCGTGGAGAGGGTCTGCACTGAGAGCCTGCAGGACGTTGCTTACCCTGGCGTCGCCCACGTGATTCAGTCCTGGACTCTTGCCCCACAGCCCCTCTATGAAGACTCTCACTGGCCCCAGAAGATGTTCACATGGGGAAGTGCTTTCCTTGAGGAATTCCCTGGGGCGTGGAGATCGAATGGCCCTTTGATGGACAGGCATGATTGGGGTTCCCTGGAGGGCAGGAGGCGGGTGGAACTCAAGGTGAAAGCGCCTTCCCTCTCTCCCACCTCCCGTAGGTGCTCATCTGCCGGAACTACCGTGGCGATGTGGACATGTCAGAGGTGGAGCACTTCATGCCCATCCTGATGGAGAAGGAGGAGGAGGGCATGCTGTCGCCCATCCTGGCCCACGGGGGAGTACGCTTCATGTGGATCAAGCACAACAACCTGTATCGTATCCCTTTGTCGGGGGGTGGGGGAGATGGCTCCTGTGTGGGCTTGTGTGTGCGTGAGTACACACACACATAAACGTGCAACTGAGAGCTGCTGTCCCCAGGGCTGGGTGGCTCAGGCCAGTGGGGGGCCACCAGGCACAGCCCTGTCTTCTGGACCCCCTGCTGCCTAAGGATGACCAGTGTCACAGAGGTCCAAGGAGCCAGGACGGGTTCCTTGGGGAGGGAACATCCCAGAGGAGACCTGCAGGAAGGCCAGATGTCTGCCACAGGTGGTGGGGGTTGGCAGGCAGGTGGGGTGCGGGGGACAGAAGCCTGGGCTGTGAGGGGGGGTGGGATACAGAGAAGGGGAGGGAGTCCTCCCCATTCTGCCCAGATCTCAGAGCCCTCTGCGCTCAGGCCCATGGGGAGGCCTGGCTCAGCCAGTTCCCATCCAGGAGGTCTGACCAGCCATCCCGTGGCTTTGGTCAACCCCTCTAGGTGCGTTCTGGCATCTACACTACTGCGGGAAGAGCCTGGCTTTGCAGCCCACAGCCCGTGCTCCAGTCGCCATGTGACTGGAGGCAGCTCCTCACCCCCCTGGTCCAGTGAGAGCAGTGATCCTCTCCTCGCAGCACTGTTGGGGTCAGCTGAGCTGTGCATGTGCATCGCGCCCAGCCAACATGGGCTCTGTCCCCTTTTCCACGTTCATGGAGACACACGGGACCTTGCTAGTGAAGGTGTGGTCCACGGGCCAGAGCACCCCTGGGATGCTGGGAGCTTTCTGGGAATGCAGAATCCTGGGTCCATACAGCCTTGCCAGGTCAGAAGCTACATTGGAGCAGGGCCATCCCTCGTGAGGTATGTGCACGTTGCAGGGTGGAAGGTGTTGGCCCGGGACGCTTATCCACGGCCCTGAGGCCTGGCTCTCTGCAGAGTGCGGCAGGCAGCCTGTGAGCCAGGAAGAGATTGTCTGAGAAGCTGACCTGGGTCTGGGCATGGTTGCCCCGCTTTGGGGGGTGGGGGAGTAGCGGTGCCGGCTCAGCAGGAGCCGTCAGACCAGTTCCCGGTGGGGCCCTGGTGTTTCATGCGTAGGCAGCCGGCGAGGAGACGAGGGCTCGTCCCCCGGACGCCAGTGCTCTGTGCGTCCTGCCAAGTGGACATCTGCTCACCTCCAGCCCAGTTCCATTGTCAGGTGGCAGTTTCCAAGGCCCTGAGGCCTGGCTCTCTGCAGAGTGCGGCAGGCAGCCTGTGAGCCAGGAAGAGATTGTCTGAGAAGCTGCCCTGGGTCTGGGCATGGTTGCCCCGCTTTGGGGGGTGGGGGAGTAGCGGTGCCAGCTCAGCAGGAGCCGTCAGACCAGTTCCCGGTGGGGCCCTGGTGTTTCATGCGTAGGCAGCCGGCGAGGAGACGAGGACTCGTCCCCCGGACGCCAGTGCTCTGTGCGTCCTGCCAAGTGGACATCTGCTCACCTCCAGCCCAGTTCCATTGTCAGGTGGCAGTTTCCAAGCCCAGCCAAAGGGTTGGAGGTGCCCGTTGCCCCTCCTTAGAAAGCACTGGGACCTATGTTGCTTGGACTAGGGAAGCCAGCACTCCCCAATTGGCCCCACATCCATTTCCTGGGGCCCTGTGCTGGGCCGGGATGAGGCTGGAAGTGGGGTGGAGATGGCCCCTTTCTCCTTCCTGGAGCCCACAGCTTGGCACTGGGGTGGCCAGGGTGCAGTGCAGAGGAACTGTTCTCCCCAGGTGATCAATCCCTTAGGGAAAGAGGAACAGGAAGTTCTCAGTACACACTGACCCCAGGAGCTGGGGACACGTCCCCGTGTCCGGAGTGTGTGCCAGTTTACACACATCACCTCAGTGAATCCACTCCCAAGCCCCTATTACGTGGTTATTGTTCAGTTGCTAAGCCATGTCTGGTTCTTTGTGACCCCATGGACTGTTGCCAGCCAGGCTCCTCTGTCCATGGGATTTCCCAGGCAAGAATACTGGAGTGGATTGCCATTTCCTACTCCAGGCATCTTCCTAACCCAGGGATCGAACCCACAACTCCTCTTGGCAAGCAGGTTCTTTACCACTGAGCCATCTGGAAGCCCATGGGTAAGAAAAAGGAGGCTTCATTCAAAAGGTTTGCTTCAGGGGGAAAGACTCAAAGACAGGCTCAAGCCAGAATTGGCCCTGAGCGTCAGGAAGGTCCTGTAGGTGATGGGCTTTGGAGAAGGGCAGATGGTGCTTCTGGTTTCCACTCCAGGATGAGGCGCACTGCTCTCCCAGGGCTGCTCACCTTACTGAAGTGCCCGCTACCACACCTCGGGCTTCAGCCCTCCGCTCAGGCGTCACCTCCCCGGGCAGCGCCCCTTACCCGGCAGCTGGGGTGGGTTTCCTGTGCCCCTGCTGCCCGTCTGTCAACTGAGCGCTCCCTGGGAGCCGGGACTGCCCCTGTCTGTGACCACAGTGCCCAGGCCCGGCTCAGACCAGGAGCTCGGGAACCCTGAGGGCCGAGTCGGTGACTGGGACAGCTCCAAAGCATGCAGGGCACTGGGGTCCGGGAGGCAGCACCCCCCTCTGAACGCTCCTTAACTGGCCGCCGTGCAGTGGTCGCCACCTCCAAGAAGAACGCATGCGTGTCACTGGTGTTCTCCTTCCTCTATAAGGTGGTGCAGGTGAGTCGGGCCCCCGGGGCCACAGAGGGTCTCCTCACCGGCTCTGCAGTATGCCTCCCCATCTGGGCCACCCAAGGGCCGCAGCGTCCCTAGTGGAGCTGGAACCCCAGGAAGAAGACCCGAGAGGGGGATGCCACGGCTTTATCTGCCCCTCTGCCTGGTGAGGAGAGGGGAAGGAATGGGAGGAGAGGCTCAGGCTAGGGGTGTGCCCCACTTCCAAGAGGGACAGGTGTGCCCCCAGCTGGCTGTGGAAGGCTGGAGAGTGACCCACTGAGTCAGGGATTAGGCAGGTGGGTTAACCAGGAGGAGGGTGGAGCCACGTTCTGCTCAGAATCTCCTGGGGCGGGGGGGCGGGGGGGCCTGTAAAGGCACAGTGCCTGAGGCCCCACCTTAGAGAGGGGTGACACATGCCAGGCCCAGCTGCCACGAGACGGGGAGACAGCGGCATGTGCAAAGGCCCTGGGGCAGAAGTGCCTGTGGTGCCCGGCATTCCTGGGACAGAGTGTGGCGCTGTCAGCAGGGTGGCTGGGCTGGACCTCAGGGTGGGGGCTGCGGCACAGGGCCTAGTGAGGCGTTTAGATTTCATTGTAAGTCTAATGAGAGAACGTGGAAGGCTTTAAGCAGGAGACTGGCAAGACCTGGTTTAAGATCCTCTGCAGCTGAGTGGGAAAAGAACCTAAAGGCAGCAGGGAGGCCAGGGAGGAGGAGGAGGGAGGGGCCTGGTGAAGTAGGGGCTTCATGGGGTTGAAGAGAGTGGATAGTCTAACCCAGGAGGCTTGGGGTGTGCCCAGGAAAGCTTTCATACTCCAGATGGTGCCGTGTGCAGCTCACTCAGCAGTCACCTCCACTACACAGGGCGGCAGGGTGGTGAGAACATGGGGCAGGAGAGGCCCCAAGCGCAGCTGAGGGGTCGCCGGCATCCCCAGGCTGTCGCGGGCCAATCGGCGCTGTTTGTGATTTCCGAGGAGCAGCCCAGCAGTTGCAGTCCTGGGGTGTAGAGATGGGGAAGCAGGAAGGAGGAAGGTTCTCCTCCCTGCAGTGACTGGCATTGCCTTCCTGCTTCCGTGTTTGTGCTCCTGAAAAGCCTTTTGTTGAGTTCCTCTTCCCCTTGGCTCCCCTGGTGCCCCGGCTTTCATCTCTGAATTTTCTGTTGAAATGGGGCAGGCTTATCTGCAGGCACAACTGTACAGACCAGGGTTCAGGGAGGTCATGAGAGGCTAAAGAGCTGCTTGTCCTGTCCGCAGGGGCCCTTGTCCCTCATCTGAATCACTCCTGACTCAGAGGCAAAGGGCCAGGGCGAAAGAGAAGCTGGGAAGGGGCCCCAGGCCTGGATGTGTCTGTCAGGGAGAGGAGCGCGGGCCTGCAGGGGCGGGAGCTCATGCTTCTGAGCAGGTCTCAGAGGACCCCTGCACACCCCAGTGTGGCTCCCGCGTCCCAGGCAGCCGCTGCTGTCCTGCCCGCGTCCCCTGAGCCCAGGCCCTCATCCGAGCACTCCTGGGAACCGGGCAAACACACTGGTGGACAGAAGGGCTGTGGGCAGGGGCCTCGGGGCACGAAGTGCAGATTAACTTGTGTTCATCCCCTCCTGGTCACTCCTCTCACCGATCTGCCTCCCATGGCAACACTGCAGGTATTTTCAGAATACTTCAAGGAGCTGGAGGAGGAGAGCATTCGAGACAACTTCGTCATCATCTACGAGCTGCTGGACGAGCTCATGGACTTCGGCTACCCCCAGACCACAGACAGCAAGATCCTACAGGAGTGAGTGGGTGGGATGGGGCCCGGGGACAGGGGTGAGTGGGGGTCAGGCCAGGGCACCGTCCCTGTGTTGACGTCATGGGCAGGTTTGGAGGTGCAGAAGGCAAATGTGTACTCACGTTGCTGGTCCCCTGCCTATCTCCAGCCCACCAGAAATTTTCTAAGTTCCTGGGGCAGCTATGGGTCCTTTTCCACTCAGCATCACTGCGTGGCATGAGCACTTTTCCTGTTGCTAGGTCTTCATTTCCATCCACAGACGTGCGCTCAATGCCTTGTTTTTAGGGAGTCACCTGCCACTGCTCTGTTTTTTGTTTTTTTTTTATACATGTTTGTTTAGTTTTGACTGCTTTGGGTTTCAGTTAGGACATGCGAGGTCTTCCTTGCAGCCTGCAGGCTTCATTGTAGTTGTGGCACATGGGCTCCAGAGCGAGTGGGCTCTGTAGTTTGCGGCCCAAGGGCTCTCTAGTAAACACATGGGCTTAGTTGCCCCGTGACTTGTGGAATCTCAGTTCCCTGACCAGGGATCGAACCTGCGTCCCCTACGTTGGAAGGCAGATTCTCAACCACTAGACCACCAGGGAAATCCTACTGCCTTTGTTTTTACTGTCATAAATGAGACTGTGATGAAAAATCTCCCTCCTTTGGAATCCTGTGCACCAAATAATGATTACCATTGATTAAGCACTTCTTAGGAAGCAGGCCTCTTGTGAACACATTTTTCCATTTCAGTTAGTCAGAGGTGCTGTCTTCCCATTTTACAGGGGAGCAGAGGGACACTCAGAGAAGCCGTGTAACTTCAGCACACCCCACATCTGTTGTTCCCCAAGTGGAAGCAAATGGGCTTCCCAGGTGTCTCAGTGGTAAAGAATCCACCTGCCAATGCAGGAGACGAGGGTTTGATCCCTGGGTTGGGAAGATCCTTTGGAGGAGGGCATGGCAACCCACTTCAGTGTTCTTGCATGGGAATGGACAGAGGAGCCTGGTGGGCTGCAGTCCATGGGGTCAGGTGGCACATGACTTCCTGACATAACAGCAAGTGGAATCGGGGTCACCAGTTTCCTCTCCCAGGGAGGTTGGTCTCGTCTGCATGCCCAGCAGGGAAGCATTTCATGCCCACTGCTTGTTTTACTCACCAACGCTGTCTTGCTGCCCTGAGACTGAGAACACTCTACTCATTGTAACTGAAAGTTTGTTGGAGTTTTGGAAACGATGATGTTGTGTTAAATGGCCCCAGGTGAAACCAGAGCCTGCCTCTCCTGGCACCTGCTACAGGGAGGGGCTGTTTTCAAAAATGTCAGTGCCTGAGCCACCTAACTCTGAGCCTGTACCTGTACCCCACAGGTACATCACTCAGGAAGGCCACAAGCTGGAAACGGGGGCCCCGCGGCCCCCGGCCACTGTCACCAACGCAGTGTCCTGGCGCTCCGAGGGCATCAAGTACCGGAAGAATGAGGTGTTCTTGGATGTCATCGAGTCTGTCAATCTCTTGGTAGGCTTCCTTTTCTTTTTTAAAAAATGTTGTCGTCTTTGTGATTGGAAGTAAAAGCAACTTGACTTTTAAAATTAGCAAGGCCCTGAGAAACAGTTTCTGTTGATAGCAGATCAGTGGGATTATGTTTGGGCTACTCATTGCAACACGAGCCTGTTTTACCTTCATTAGTTTTTGTTCTTATTTAGAACAAATGCATGCATATCATTAATATATATATATATATGTATAGGGTTAGAAAGCCAAGGGCTCTAGGACTTCCTGGTGGGCCAGCCGCTGACCCTGTGCTGCCACTTCAGGGGGCCTGGGTTCCACCTTGGCTGGGGAACTAGGATCCTGCATGCCTCCAGGCAAAAGTAAAACACTAATTAGAAAGCAAGCAAGCAAGCACAGAGCTCCATAATCAGAAAGGCCACATCACAGAAGGATTCATCGTCATCTTTTGGCCCCTCACGCTGTAGGTTCACAGACAGACGTTGTTCTGTGTAAAACTGACGGTGTAAGCTGTAGTTCTCCTACAGCTGGCTTTTGGAGTTGCTTGGGTTTTGGTTTTTATTGTTTTGTGCATGTTTATTTCTTTAGTTTTATTTATTAAGTTATTGTTATTTGGTAATTGACCATATTTTCTGTGAATTAGCACATGTACAGATTTGTGTACTCGTGATCATAACCAGGAAGCAGAATAGCTCCATCACCTCAAAATCCTCACTTATGCTGCCTCTCAGTAGTCACACCCTCCCGCCTGTTCCCAACCCCTGGCAACTGCTACTGTGGTCTCCATCACAGTAGTTTTGTCTTTTTGAGATTGTTTTATGAGTGGAATCATACAGTGTGTGTTTGAATCTGACTTCTTTCAATGTATGGCTTTGAGATTCATCCAAGTTGCTCTGTTTATCAAAAGTTTATGTCTTCTTAGGTTCATTTATTTTATATTCTGAATCACAGTTGATTTATCCATTCACCCATCAAAGGACATCTGGGTGGTTTCCAGTGTTTGGCAATTGTGAAAAGAGTTGCTATGAGCATTTTATGTATAGATTTATGTGTGGACAGAAGTTTCCATCTCTCTAGGGCAAATACCCAGGAGTGGGATTGCTGGGTCATATGGTAAGTGTATGTTTGACTTTCTAAGAAACTGTCAAACTGTTTTCCAGTAACATTTGTGCATTTTCACCAGCAGTGGATGAGAGTTCCAGTTGCTCCACATCCTTGATCAACGTTTTTATTTTTGTCATCCTCCTAGGCTTTAATGTACATTTCCCTAATGGCTAATGATGTTGAGCGTCTTTCTGTATGCCTCTTTGTCATCCATATATCTTTGGAGGAGTGTCTTTTCATGTCTCTGATCATTTTTAAGTTGAGTTTGTCTTCTGATTGTTGAGTTTTGAAAATTCTTTGTATTGGATAAAGTCTTTTGTCTTTATCCAATGTGATGTGTGATTTGCAAATATTTTCTCCTAGTCTGTCACTTTTCATTCTGTGGCATTGTCTTTCACAGAGCAGAAGTTTTTGAGAAAGTCTACATATCAAGTATTTAGGGACTTCCCTGGCAGTCCAGTTGGTTTACACTTCACCTTCCAATGAAGGGGGTACAGATTTGATCCCAAGTTGGGGATCTAAGATCTCACATACTTTTCAACCAAAAAACCAAAACAAAGTAGAAACAGTATTATAACAAATTCAATAAAGGATTTTAAAATGGTCCATAGAAAAAAAATATTCGGGAAAAAAACTCAAATATCAAAATTTTAAACTGATTATGCTTTTGGTGCCATGTCTGAGAACTCATTGCCAAACCCAAGGTCACATAGATTTTTCTCCTAAATTTTCTTCTAAAAGATTATAGTTTTATATTTAGATCTATGATCAATTTTTAATTAAATTTTTTGTAAGGTATGAGGCTTATGTCCATTTTTTGCACATTGAACAATTTTTTTCCTTGTTCTAACATCATTTTTTTAAAAAGATTATCCTTTCTCCATTGAATTGCTTTTGCATTTCTGTCAAAAATCAGTTTGCTATATTGTGCAGGTCTATTTGTAGTTTCTGTTCTTTTCCATTGATCTGTATATCTGTTTCTTCACCAGTACCACACAGTCTTGATAACTGTACCTTTACAGTAAGTTTGAAAACCAGATAATGTGATCTTCCTAACAGTCTTCTTTTTCAAAATTGTTTAGTTCTTTAGTTCCTTTTATAGACTTAGAATCCGCTTGTCTTGGGATTTTGGTTGGTAATGAGTTAAATAACTCTGTTAAATCAATTTGGAGAGATTTGATATCTTTAGTATATTAAGTCTCACAATCCATGAGAAATATATGTCTCTCTATATATATTTAGCTAATATTTTATTTCTTTCATCAACATTTTATAGTTTTTACCATGTACAAATTTTCATGTTAGATTTATACCTAAGTATTTCATTTTTTGGAAGCTATCACAAATTGCTTATTTTTAATTTTATTTGGTAGAATTCACCTGTAAAACTATCTGAGTCTGGAGATTTCTTTTTCAGAATATTTTTCACTACAGATTTCAATTATATAACAACTATAGGATTCATTAGGTTTTCTATTTCATCTTGAGTGAGTTTTGGTAGTTTGCAGTTTTTAAGAAATTGGTCTATTTCATCTAAGTCACTGAGTTTATATGCATAGTGTTGTTTATAGTATTCCCTTATTAGCTTTTTAACATGTGCAAGGTCTGTACTGATACCCGCTCTTTCATCTCTGATACTGGTAATTTATGTTGTCTTTTTTTTCTGTCAGTCTTATGAGTGGTTTATCTGTTTCATTGATCTACACAAAGAATCGGCTTTGATCTCATTGATTTCCTCTATTGTTTTTCTGTTTTCAATTACACTGATTTCTGCTTTTGTCTTCCTTGTGATTTTGGCTCACTTTGCTCTTCTTTTGCTAGTTTTTAAAGTGGTAACTGAAGATACTAATTTGAAGCCTTTCTTCTTTCTAATACAGACATTTAATGCTATAAATTTCTCTCTAAGCACTGCTTTAGCTGTATTCTACACTGATAACGTTGGGTTTTCATTTTTGTTGAAAATATTTTCACATTTTCCTTGAGCCTTCCGTTGACCCATGGATTATTTAATGAAAGTGTGTTGTTTAATTTCTAAATGTTTACAGATTTTTCTGTTATCTTGTCATTGACTTTTAATTCTGTTATTGTCTGAGAATATAGTTTATATTACTGTCAGTTCTTTAAAGTTTGTTAAGATTAATGATCCAGAATATGATCTGCCTTGGTGAATGTCCATGTACATTTGAAAAAAATGTACTTTCTGCCCTTTTTGGATAGAGTATTCTGTAAATACCAATTAAACTTGAATACTTGTCGTGTTCTGTTTTGTTTCTTCACTCTTATCATTTTTTCTTTGTATAGTTTTTTTTTAGTGGTTGCTATAAAATACATACTTTCTTATCATTTACTTAGACTTAATATTTTACAACTTCATTTGAAATTTAGAAACTTTACTACCCCATTGTTGTCCTATATAATTATCTCTCTATACTGAAAACCATATTAGTCAGTGTTAAACATTTTTGCTTTCAATTACCAAGCACACTTTAAAGAACTGAGGAGGAAAAGAAGACTCTCTACCATATTTTCCCAGGTATTTACTGTTTGTGTTGCTCTTCCCTCACTTCCAATTTTCTAGGTTTCCTTCTGGTACAGTTTTACTTCTGTCTAAAATGCTTCTTTTTGCAGTTATTTCAGAACAGGGCAACAGGCTACAAATTCCCTTGGTTTTCCTTCATCTGAGAATGTCTATTTCACCTTCTTTCCAGAAGGATACTGTCACTGGATATCAAATTCTAGGTTGACAGTTCTCCTTTAGTACCTTAAAAATGTTGTACCACTTCCTTCTGGGCTCCATGATTTCTGATGAAAATCCACAGTCACTCACATCAGTATTCCCCTGTAGGTAATAATAATATGTAGTTTTTCTCTGGCCGCTTTTCAGATTTTTTCTTTGTCTTTAGCTTTCAGCAGATAGATTATGATGTGTCTCGGTATGGATATTTTTGAGTTCCTGCTGTTTGGGTTTTGTTCAGCTTCTTGGATCTGCAGACTTACATATTTCACCAAACTTGGGATGTTTTCATTCATCATTTCTTCATAGTTTTCAGCAGATAGTTTATGGTGTGTCTAGGTATGGATATTTTTGAGTTCCTACTCTTTGGGTTTTGTTCAGCTCCTTGGATCTATAGACTTACGTTTCACCACACTTGGGATGTTTTTATTCATCATTTCTTCAAATATGTTTTTACTGTTTCACTCTCGTTTCCTTCTGGACCCAGTAACATAAATGTTAGACCTTTTATGATTGTCCCCAGGGCCTCTGAGCCTCTGATCATCCTGCTTCATCTTTCTTTCTATTGTTTAGATGGGATAATTCCTGTCGATCAGCTTTCAAGTTCACTGACCCTTTTCCTACTGTGTTATCTCCGTTCTGCTCTTGAGCCCATCCAGTGAGTTTTTAGTTTGTTACTGTACTTTTCAGATCTAAGATTTCCATTTGATCCTTCTCCTTATAATCTTATTTCTTTCCTGAGACTTTCTAGTTTGACATTATTGTAAGAGTATTTGCGATTTTTCCCATAGCAGTTTAAAGTCTTCATGGAATCCCAACATCCATGTCAGTATTGGTGACATGTGAGCTGAAATTTTCAAGGTTCTTTGTATGCTAAGTAATTTTAGGTTATATCTTGGGGTAGGATTCTAGGTCTTATTTAAATTATATAGAAAATGTTGATTTTTTTTTTGTTTGTTTGTTTTAGCTGACAATTGACCTGATTAGGTTCAGGCCACAAGTTTCAACCCCCAGTCTATGAGCCATGAGTATCAGTTCAGTTTTCAAAGCCTTTGTGCCCTTTGCTATTTGCATCTGTTCCAAATATGCAGTGCCCAGCAGTCCGTCCGAGACTGGGAACAGTTTGGTTCTCAAGGCCTTTGGCCGTAGGATCTTGTCTGTGCACACCTGATTCTAGAGAGGTCTGGAGACATAAACAACTTCCTGAGGTTGCTTTCCCGAGCCTTTCACTGTCTGCTGTATACCTGTGCTCTCTGGCTGCCTAGGGCTTCCTTTTTTGGTTCTGTGGCCAAAAACTTGGGGCTCTAGAGCCCCACTCTTGTGCTGGTCTGCACTTGGGCTGGAACCCTAGGTTTGCCACCGCCCACCCCTGGAAAAACAGCTCAGCTGCCTGGGCCCCAGACAGCCATGAAAAACCTGAAGAGGGAGAGAAACGGGGGATTTCCATACTCCCTCTGAGCGGCAGGAGTTCCCCTTCTGGCCCTGGAGTCAGAACTAGAGCCTTCTGCAAGCTCTGGCTACGCCCCACTGCTCACTTCCACTGCCAGGTTTCTGCTGCGCACTCACATCACGGCAGGTGGGAGACGCTGCTCATTCGGCCAGCTCTTCTGGATCCACCTTTTTGGTCTCCCAATAGTTGCCCAGGTATTCTGCCCAGGATTTTTGTTGCTGTTGATCTTTAATTTTAATTAATTAATGTGCTATGTCTTTGTTAGTGCTTGGGCTTTTCTCTGGTTGCAGCACACAGGCGTCTCACTGCAGCGGCTCCTCTTGTCATGGGGCGCAGGCTGGCTCTAGGGTGCATGGGCTTCAGTAGTCGCAGTTCTCAAGCTCTAGAGCACTGGCTCAGCAGTTGTGGCGTATGGGCTTAGCTGCTCCGCAACTAAGGGATGATGTGGGACCTTCTAGGTCAAGGGTCAAACCTGCGTCTCCTGCATTGGCCGGTAGATTCTTTACCACTGAGCCATCAGGGAAACCCCTTGCCCAGATTTTATAGCTGTGGTTGGTGGCAGAGAACGGGTGATGCGAGCCAGTTCCATCTCACCTGTAGCCTGCCTGTCTCCACACAGAAGACCTCACTCCCAGTACTTGGGCAAACCAGGGCAGACTGGGCTGCCCATCACATGGGCTGCTTAGGTTTGCCCATTTTTGGCTGTTCCAGCCAGTGCAGAAATGAGCATGATTGCTCATCCTCATGTGTGTTTGGGCATCTCCCTTACCTAGGCAGGATCTCTGGAGGGCTGAGTGCCTAGGCATGGAGTTCCTGAGTGAGAGCACTTTCCAAAAAACTCTTCCAGTGGACTGAATGTAAATGTATCTGCCATCTTATTTTCTAAGCTGTGAGGCGACTGTGGCTCTCTGCGCTCCCCTCCTACCTGAGGACCTTCATCTGGATCTGAGCCCGGAATGTGTTCTCGGGTGTCCTGAGGTGGAGAAGCAAATCCCAGGGAGTAGCTTATAAGCACCTGCCCAGTGGAGCACTAGGAGTTCAGGGCTGCCCCAGCCCCTGTGTCCGCACACGGCACTGTCCAGGCACCCCTGTCCTCTCACACAAGGGGCAGCGCAAGGCAGGTGTGGACATCCCAGGCATGTTGGAGCACACCTGCCTGAGTCTGACTGCAGAACTGCGGCCTCCAAAATCAACACTGGCCTCCAGATTCTGAAAATCTGGTTCTACAGGTACAATTAGCAGCTGTTTTGCTGAGAGACTCATCTCCTCCATGCCTGCCCTGGGACAGTGCCTATCACGGCCAGCATTGGCCTTAAAGGCTGCGTGGCTTTTGTCTCCACTTCCCAAGCCTCCTTTGCCATCGTTCAGCTCTAAAGGGCTGTGCACCCCCCCTCCCCCAGCGGGGATAGCCCCCCAGAGAAGGAGAACTAAGGGCAGTCGGGCAGAGCACTGAGAACCCGCAGAGTGAGGCGGTGGGCGTGCCAGGTACCCAGAGCTCAGGGCCCGGGGCCGTGTCTGCACGGACTCATGAGTGCACGCTGCCCCAGGCACTGTCCTCAGGCTGGACCCCGCAGTGAGCAGCCCGACCCGACCCCTCACCAGAGTGTGGATGGAGGTGGATGGAGGCAGATGGGGGTCAGGCCACGCCCTGCCTGCTGAGGCAAGGACAGTGAGGTCAGAGTGTAGTGAGTGACAGGAGGTGGCAGGGCCTTCCGTGCTGCTCTGTGCCTTTTTCTGAGTCGTCATTCACTCGGTGCCTCAGTTCTCCACTTCCCTCAGAGGTGAAGGTCTTCCATGCCTGCCCACGGCACTTCCAGATATTTGAGTTAAAGACTGGACAGATTTCCCTACTTCTCAGCAGAAATCAGGAAGTTAGGGCCTGCAGGGAGTGGCCTGTATAGCCCTGAGTCTGCGCGTTTATTTTGCTTGCTGGTGTGGATGTGGCATCCTCACAGAATGGCGCTGTGGGGGTGGCGGGCTGGGCTGCAGCCCCGGAACTGCTGCCGGCTGCTCCGTGCCTCAGTGTCCTCGACTCTGAAATGGGGCCATGGAGACGTGCTGCAGCAGCTCGGCTCCTCAGGACAGCCCCCGGGTTAACCATCATCCTGCTGTGATTTTTATTTATTTATAAAAATGTGTGTGTTTTTAATTGAAGGATAATTGATTTACAGTATTGTGATGGTTTCTGCCATACATATGCATACCTATGGATCAGCCACAGGTATCCCTATGTTTCCTCCCTCTTGGACCTCCCTCCTACCTCCCACCCCGTCCCACCCCTCTAGGTCGTCACAGAGCCCTGGTTTGTGCTCCCTGCATCACACAGCAAGTTCCCACTGGCTGTCTGTTTTACATGTGGCAATGTATATGTTTCCCTTCTGTATACTGTCTCCATTCATCCCACACTTTCTCTCCCCGACTGTGTCCACAAGTCTGTTCTCTATGTGCTGTGATTTTCAGTTTCACTCTCAGATGCTTTCCAGTCTGCACAGGAGTCACAGCCCCGCCCGGTCAAGGAGGAACTGCCCAGGCAGTGTTAGAGATGGGATTGTATTTGCTTAAGTGTAATTGTTACTTTGCATCAGACCTCAGAGCAGCCCTGGGAGCAGGACCCAGGCAGCTCCATCTTCAACAAGCCCTAGGCTCACCTAGAGCATGAAGTAGCCTCACCTGGCCCCACGTGAAGAAATAGATTTCTGGAAAATGAGTCCGCCCTGCTCCGAGAAAACCTCACAGAGCCCAGTAGATGAGCAGACACTGATAGCATCCCTGCCCAGGCCAGCCACCAGGTCTGCCCTGGCCATCCTAGGGGCACCTCAGAGGGGTCAGTGCGTGAAAGAGCCCTCAAAAGGATTGCAGGCACAGCATCAGCTGGGCCCATCCAAGAGGGAGGAGCCTGGGGTGGCCTGAGACCTAGAGGGCGGGGCCCACGCGTGTCTGCCTTCCGGGTCTGCCCTGACACTGCCTCCTCAGCTCAGGGGGCAGAGAGAAGGGCTTTGCGAGTGGGAGAGGCCGGGAGGGTCACACAGCCTGGGGGGGACAGTGGCCGCTGGCGCGGGGCCTCCCCTCACCCCTGGCGCCCCCACCCCACAGGTCAGCGCCAACGGGAACGTCCTGCGCAGTGAGATCGTAGGCTCCATCAAGATGCGCGTTTTCCTGTCCGGCATGCCCGAGCTGCGCCTGGGCCTCAACGACAAGGTCCTCTTCGACAACACGGGCCGTGAGTACCCAACCCAGGCCCGGGAGCGTCCGCCTGAGTGGTGAACAAGTTCACCTTAAGCATATAGGCTTAGGAACATTGTCGTGTTGTTTGCAACGGTGAAAACTAATCAGCTAACGCCTGGGCCTGGAGGACACGGGAGAGTGAAAAATCCTCAAGTCCAGTCACCTCTCAGTCCAGAGGTACAGATGAGCACCCAGATGGTCACACAGTAGGTCTTCAGCTCCGCCCTCCTGCAGGGACTGCAGGCCTCATCTCCCCCTGGGCCCAGTTTCTGTCTTCACCTCTGACGTTGGGTCTGGGCTGTGCAGAAACCACACACAGCGGCTCGAGCTCTCCCTGCCTGTCCTGGATGTGACACTTTGTGGTAGGGCGGCCTCAGAAGCCCAGGGCTGCTGCGGCTCTGGTGTTCACAAGCTGGACCTCCAGCCTCCCCTCCCACCCACAGGAAGGTTGTCATGGTTACATCAGCAGTAGCGCTCTGAGGGCCTCTCAGACGTCTGCCCGGCAGAGCAGCTCCCCTCCCAGGACTGGGCCCAACCCTCAGCCTCTCTGGGCTGGGAAACTGAGATAGGATCCCAGGGTTGACAGGCCTGGGGCCCTCAGGGGACCCCGAGTCATCCCCGAGCACCCCCAGTGGGGTCTGTTGGTTATTCAGCACACACGTCCCAGGCAGCACCCCAGGCTGGGGATTAGAGCGAGCAGGCCCACCAGCGCTGCCCTCAGCCCAGCGTCGGGGTGTGATGGGGCTTCTTGGGGTGAGGAGGGGGGGATTCGGGGCCCAAGACGCTCTTGCAGATTTGGAAGCTGCGCTGCTCTGCAGAGCTGGGCCCCAGACTGCGGGGGCCATCACTGAGCGAGTGGCCCGGGGACCTAGGGTCTGTCTGTCACGCCCTCACACTCCCGCTCCCTGCAGGTGGCAAAAGCAAGTCCGTGGAGCTGGAGGACGTGAAGTTCCACCAGTGCGTGCGGCTGTCGCGCTTTGAGAATGACCGCACCATCTCCTTCATCCCACCCGACGGCGAGTTCGAGCTCATGTCCTACCGCCTCAACACCCACGTGAGTGCACAGTCGCCAGCGCCTGGGCCCCAGGGGCAGCCCAGGCTCCAAGGGGCCTGCTTGTCAACATGAGGCTCCAAACTCTGAAGGGGGCAGGCCCTTTGGCACCACTGCCCCTTTTCCCAGGCAGCATCCCCAGAGTGTCCTCTGGGATGCTTTCTGCATTCTGTCTTTGTTCTGGCCCATCCTGGCACCGGCTGGGATTCTCCCAAGAGCCCCTGGTGCCAGGCATTGGACTCACACCAGGCCCAGTGGTCACTTGCTCCATTTCCCCCCTGTAAAAGGAGCTTTGTAAAACGACTAGGCGAGCGCGCTGTCTTCCCTCTCCCCTACAGGTCAAGCCCTTGATCTGGATTGAGTCCGTGATTGAAAAGCATTCCCACAGCCGCATCGAGTACATGATCAAGGTGCGTGTGCGTCCTGCACGCAGCGTCCGCCGGGGGTGCAGGGCATACGAGAGGGGGACATGGGTGGCCCTGCCCAGTACGGGCCTTCCGCACTCTCCGGCCTGTCCTGGGCCTCTGACACCGATCTTTACCCAGGACTGGGGGCACGCTGGGGCTCTTGTGACCCCTGCCCCGGGTCTGAACCTGTGGCTGTCATCCTGTGAGCTCGTCGAGAGTGGGCCTGGAACACCGGACACACCGCTTCCTGCTGCGGAAGCGGGCTGTGACCAAGTGTCCAGGTGGCACGCTTCTGCCACCCAGTGACCTCATCCGCCCCAGGCCAGTCCTGCTGACGCAGACATTGTCCCCGGAGGCCGGGACCGCAGAGGATGGGAAGCCCCAAAGGCTGAGGAGACAGTGGCACAGAGATGACCTTCCAGAGTTGAGCTTAAAGGAAATCTCAGAGGGCAGGAGCAGGTGGAGAATCCCACAGGCCAGGCTAAGGGGTTTGTGGCCCTTGTGGGAGCAGGCTGGGTGGCAGCTGGGCTGTCTTACCTTCACCCTCTGCACCCTTGGCCCCACTCATCTCCAGGCCAAGAGCCAGTTCAAGCGGCGATCAACAGCCAACAACGTGGAAATCCACATCCCTGTCCCCAATGATGCTGACTCACCCAAGTTCAAGACGACAGTGGGGAGCGTCAAGTGGGTGCCCGAGAACAGTGAGATCGTGTGGTCCATCAAGTCCTTCCCGGTGAGCACCTTCTCAGCCGGGCGCCCCCAGATCCCCATCCACACCCGCCTGCTCGCTGGGTCCCGCGCAGTGGTGACCTGACCACTGTAGGCCCCTCGAGCCCAGGGCCGGGGTCCCCGCCTGGGGCTTCGGGGAGGCTCAGCAGGGAGGGTGGGTGGAGAACAGGGGCGGGGTGGGGTGGGGGTGCTCCACCTTCCTCGTGTGTGTGCACCCGCCTGTCTTCAAAGTCAGGTTAGCGCCCCCCCCGCCCCTCCCTCCCGCTGGCCCTCCAGCTCTCCCTGCCGCTCCTGTTTGGACCTCAGCTTGCCTCCAGGGGAGCAGACTGACTGCCCTGGGCCAGAGCAGCACCAGCTCCAGGAACACAGTGCCTGCTGCCCGACCCACAGCTGGCGTGGCCACCTGGCTGGTGTGCAGGATTTCGAGCACTTGAGTCTGGGTTTGTGGGCAGAGTGCCCGGGGACTGGAAGGCAGGAAGGAGGCTGCACGGGCTGCACATTCCTCATGATAAAAAGATGCGGTGCCTTTTCTTTTTGTCTCAGGGGGCTGTTTGTGTTTCTTGCTCTGGAAACTGTAGTAGCTGTCCTTTTGCTCACTTTTCTGTCAAGTTTGGTCACTTTCTTGTTGGTTTCTAAAAGCTGTTTGTACATGGACAAGGTTAGTACTTTTCCTTTGATAGCAGTTGCAAGTGGTTTTCTTTAGTTTGGTGTTTGTCTTTCAGTCTTGGCTCTGGAGTATTTTTGCTTTGAAATCTCTTTTGATTGTGGTAGTTTTCTTTCGATTCTCATGGGTTTTCAGATACTCTTTCATATGTTTGCAGGCAGTTGCAGTTACCCCTTTTCCTCTCCTATTCTTGGGCGCCTTACGGCTCCGGGCATCTCCCTGCTTCCGTTGCTGTCTCCATGCCTGTACGTGGTGGTGGAGAGCAGCCTCCTGGCTTTGCCTCCAACTGGAACTGCTAGGGTTTCCCTTTTCAGTGTCTTGCTGCTTTGGGCTTAAATTCATTCCAGTTCTACTTTGCTGTGTTTTTAGCACAAAAGGGCAACAAATTTAGACAAATGCCTCTTCAGTGTCTGTCAGTTCAGATATTAACTCAGGATGGATCTTGAACCATCCTTGCATTCTGACAAACTCCAGTTGATCATGATGTGTCTTCTCTTTGATGTGCCATTAATTCTGTTGGTTAACATTGTATGTAGTATTTTTACATTGAGATTCATGACTGAGATTGACTTTTTTTTTTGGTACCTCTATCTCAGGTATCAATATTGTACCTGTTTCATAATTTTTTTGGTCTTCCTCTTCCATGGTGCAGAACAGCTTTAAAGTAGCCTTGAGATCATCTGGCCTTGAGAGGATTGATAAAATTTGGTTGGCTGTGTGTGACCATCTGTATCTCTGTTACTTTTTCTAACTCATCTGTGGAAATTAGGCCATTTTGAGCTTCTATTTCTATTGGAGTCAGTTTGGGTAAATTTGTATTTTCCTACAAAATTATCCATCCTAACCAGGATTTCAAATTTGCCTACACAGAGTTGTAGAAAGGGGTCTCTTTCTCCCCTTCTCTTATGACAGTAACTTCTCCCTTGTTATATCTTATTTTGCATTTTTGTAACTTCTTTTCCTTGATAAGGTTACCTAGTGGTTTGTCTATTTTTTCCCAGACTCACTTTTTATTTTATTTGCCATATTTTTCAGTTTTACAAGTCTTTAATTTTAATTTGTTCATCCTTTGACCTGATTTTCCAGTTTTTTAAATTTTATTATTTTCTTTCAAAATTTGTATTGATATAAATATTTAAGCCACAGATATTCTTCTGAACCCTGCCTTAGCTGTATAACCCATAGAACAGGCATGTAATATTTGATACTGTTATCTAGAAATTCTGTAATCAAATGAGTATTTTTTCGTTTTGTTTTCTGTTTTTCTGGTCAAAGGTCCTTTTCTCTTCCATTTCACCTTGACTTTGAGTTTGGTGCATTGAGGTCAGAGGTTATTCATGCTGTTCTGCTTATAAGATTTATTGAAGTATTCGTTGTGTGTTGAGGTAAGGTCAGAGTTTGTGAATATCCCATATGTACTTGAGAAGATAAGGCCTCTGTACCTGGGGTAGAGAACCTGACGCAGCACATGAGGTCTGCTGTGCTGTGACGGCATCAGCCACACGGGGGGCTGGGTCAGCTCTGCCTTCCTCTGGTTCCTCTGGCTCCTGTCTGCTCTCTTGCAGCATCTGCTTAACAGAAGGTCTGCCCTGTTACTTGGTGCGTAGATACTCACAACTGTTGTATCTCCCCTGTGGATTTGTGGGACAGCAGCCTTTCCGGCTGTGAACTGTTGTCCTCTGCACCTGGGATTCTCTGCCCTTAGTTCTCCCCAGTAGCAGCAGTCCTGCTCTGCTTTTTTTTTTTTAATCTTTTAAAAAAATTTTTTTGGTTGCACTGGGTCTTCATTGCTATGCACGTGCTTTCTCTAATTATGGTGGGCCAAGGCTACCCTCTAGTTGCCGTGCGCAGGCTTCTCACTGCAGGGCCTTCTCTCTTGTTGCAGAGCACAGGCTGTGGGGCGCGCAGGCTTCAGTAGTTTAATGCACCTTGCAGGCTGTAGAATGTGGGCTCAGTAGTTGTGGCGCTTGGGCTCAGCTGCCTTGCAGCACGTGAGACCTTCCCCGACACGGATCAAATCTGTGTCCCCTGAGTTGGCCAGCAGGTTCCTCACCACTGGACCGCAGGGAGGCCCAGCCCTGCTCTGCTTTGTCTGATGGTGGCCGGCGTGCCTTCACCCATTCTTTCTACTGGCTTAGTCTTTCTGACTCTGCTTTCACAGTGTAGAGTTGGGTTTTGGTCTGTGAGTCAGTCTCTAAGCCTTATTAATAGAGGAAATTAAACCCATTTACATGGACATGATCGACACAAGGTAGCCTTGCAGACTTCTGCCACCCACTGGGGAGGGCCTACCTCTCTACATATTCTTTTGCTTTCATTTTCCACTTGGATGTTATGAAGCTTAGGTTTTTGGCCTGGTTATTGTTTCATGCAGACTGATGGAGCTGGTTTTATTCCTTTGCTGCCTGCTTTGTCTGTTGCTTTATGTAATTTTATTTGTTTTTGGCTGTGCTGGGTCTTCGCTGCATGGACTTCTCTCTGGTTTTGTAAGCAGGAGTGGGGGCCCCTCCCCAGCTGTGGCGCGCGGGCTGCTCGTTGCGGTGGCTTCTCTGATTGTGGAGCACAGGCTCTAGGCTGTGTGGGCTCAGCAGTCGCGATTCCTAGGCTGCAGAGCACGGGTTCCACAGTTGTGCAGCATGGGCTTAGTTGCTCCACAGCCTACGGGATCTTCCCACATCAGGGATCGATTCTGTGTCTGCTGCATTGGCAAGCAGACTCTTTACCACTGAGCCACCAGGGAAGCCCTGCTTTGTCTGTTGCTGAGACTGCATTATTCTCCCCTTGTTGTCCCAGAATCTCCACTGAGCACACAGCAGCAAGTCAGGCAGAGTCCACACGCCTGCACTGATGAGCGGATCCTGACCACTCACTGCACCCCGGGAAGGGGAGGGCGAGCGCAGCACTGGGGAGGCGGAGCTCTGCGCTGCTCTGCTGAAGCCATGCAGAGGCAGCCCTGGTCAGCAGTGACTCCTGTTGCCAAAGGCCTGAGGATCAAAACCCTCCGTGTCCTGCTGTGATGAGAGCTGCATTTCCTACTGCCCCCTGCAGTTCTGTTACTCACCAGGCCAGGACTCCTGATCCCTCACGGCTGAGAGTTCAGTCTCTCAGTCGAGTCCGATTCCTTGCAGCCGATGGACTGTAGCCCTCCGGGTTCCCCTGTCCGTGAGATTTCCCAGGCAGCCATGCTGGAGTGGGTTGCCACTTCCTTCTCCAGGGGATCTTCCTGACTTAGGGATCGAACCAGCACCTCCTGCATTGGCAGATGGATCTTTACCACTGCACCAGGAGGGAAACCATTCCTTCTGCCACCACAAGTCACATCTCTGCAGTCATTGTTCAGCTTCCAGGACCAGAGCCTCTCCCTTCCAGGGCAAGACCTAGGGCCAGCTCATCAGTCCGAGGCAGCCCTGTCACCCCTGTCAGCGCTCACTCTTCCTCTCTCTTCTTCCTCCCCAAGGCCTAGTGTTCTTATTTTCCCTGAAGCAACTAGGCTTCTGTGCCTGGGAACTTGTAGAAGCTTCTCTTCATCCTCAGGATTAGAGGATTAATTTTCCCCAGCGGGGCTGGTGTGGGCAGCCCAGGAGGCCTGGAGGATAAGTATGAGTGTGTTGCAGGAGCCGAGGCACTGAGTGACCACAGACCATGAAGGAAGGGACTCGTTGGCCAGGCCTGCAGCCTGAAATTCTCTAGGGGCAGCTGTTAGATGAACCTGCCAGGGCCTCCGCCTGACCATCTCCTCTGTGGTCTGCTCCCCCAGGGCGGCAAGGAGTACCTGATGCGGGCCCACTTTGGCCTGCCCAGCGTGGAGGCAGAAGACAAGGAGGGCAAGCCCCCGATCAGTGTCAAGTTCGAGATCCCCTACTTCACTACCTCTGGCATCCAGGTATGTGCGACCAGGGCTGCCGGAGCCCCGGAGCAGACATGGACAGGCCCTGTGGGGCCTCTCAGGGACCAGGCATCAGTCCAGGCTCAGAGGGTTGAAGGTGACAGACACCAGTGAGCCAGTTAGCAAAGGGTACTAGCTGACTTGTCCTGGTGCTCTGAGCTGCTTCCCAGCCCTGCCCATCTCCATGGGCAGCCTGGCCCTGATGGGAAGAGGCCCGCAGTGTTCTACTCAGACCTGACCTGTGCTTCAAGCTCAGAGATGCATTCAGCCCCCAAAACTAATGTTCACACACTTGCCACCATGGGGCCCATTTTCCTGGGCACCTCCACAGAAGACCTGTATGGGGCGAAAAACCCTGGGATTGGCCCCTTCTCTAGGAATCTGCTAGAGGGTCATGCCTGCGAGTACACATCTGGCTCTTTGCCATACCTTCTAGAAGCATCTCCACTGTCCCTTGGCCTGAGTGTGATACAGGCTAAGGTGCTTTACCCTCTCCCTGGCCCTCTTGGTCACGGCCCAGCCCCGGGAGGAATGACTGGGTGGGCAGCCAGGAGCAGGGGTGGTATGTGCATGCTTAGGGCCCTGATGCTGTGCCCCAGGTGCGTTACCTGAAGATCATCGAGAAGAGTGGCTACCAGGCCTTACCGTGGGTCCGTTATATCACTCAGAACGGAGGTACGTGGGACCTGCCCGTGGGGCAGGTGGGGGTGCTGAAAAGGTCCCTGGTGGGCGTGGGGAGCAGCCCCAGGGTCAGGGCAGGTGGGGGAGGCCCCTCCTCCAGGGTCAGAGCAGACAATGGACGCCCCCTCCCTCTTTCTAGATTACCAGCTCCGGACGCAGTGAGGGGCCGCGGTGGCCCACGCTCCCAGCACGGGGCCCCTGGTGGAAGCGCCTGCCCAGCCTGCCGGGGGGAGGGGCCCCCCTGGACCCCGGCGCCCCTCCAGGCCCCACCCAGGGGCCCCCCTTCTCCAGGCTCACCTGCTCTGCCATCTCCACTCACCTCCCGGGTCCCCTTTTCCCAGAAGAGGCTCGTCTTGAAGAGGTCTTGTCTCTCAGCCCCTGAGTCAGTCTGGGGGGCAGGAAAGACATCGTTCCCTCCAGAGGTCAAATACAGCCTTCTGTGCTGTCCAGCTCCCAGCCACACAAGACTGGGAAGCGCTGCCCAGGCCGCTCTTCAGCCAGGCTGGGGGGCCGCCGTTGTGTCGCCATTCTGTTGCACGTTGTGGGTTTATCGAGCATTCCTAGGTTTTGTCTCGGCCTGTCGCTGGTTACGTGGCCCTCACCGTCTGCACCTTCCTCCCCTGGCCTGAAGCTCTCAGGCAGCACTTAGCGAGGACAGGCTTCCCCGTCCTCGCCCTTCTCCCCTGTGAGGCTGTCGCCGGGCCACCTTCCCAGCGCCTGGCCCTCCGCCTAGAGGCTCCTGGTCTGGAGCTTTGAATAGGGACGCCTTCTCAGGGCCAGCCCGTGCCGCGTGACGCTGTCCCTCAGCCACAGCAGTGTTTGTCCCACCAGGGGAAGCGGGCTCCGGTGCGGGCCCCCAGCCTCAGAGGGTGGGGCCACAGGCCATCCCCATGTGTGCTTGGACACCGCCCCCCCGCCCTGTCCGTGTTTGTGTCATGAGTACATTAAACGCCATCGGTTCAACATGCCTTCCTTCTGGTGCAGCGCTGTGCTGACTCCTGGGTGCCCGGGAGAGGGGCGGGCTCACAGCAACCTGGGTGTGGCACCAGTTTCTGAGGCCCCCACGTCCCCTGGGGAAGACGGGACCAGGCAGTGAGCAAGCAGAGCCATTGCCCAGGGGCCTCCCAGAGGGGCTGCAGAGGGGAGGGCACACGGGCACAGCATTGCCCTCTCATCTGAGGTGACCATTACAACCCTCACCCCTCAGATCACCAGCAGCCTGCTCCCCTCCCCAGCCCACTGGTCTTCCTCAAGAGTGTGGTCCTGCTACCAGCAGCATCAACATCCCACAGCACATGCAGGTTCACAGGCGCCCTCCTTTATCTGCCGAGGCAGTGTCTGGAGATGGGACCCAGGAGACCAGCTGACAGGCTCTGCATGTGAGTCATACGTGCACTGGAGTCTGAGGGCCGCTGCCTGGTCCGTAGAGGGGGGTCTCAGCAGGGGCGTGGGCAGAAGACAGCTTGTCTTCCCACTGCAGTCACACGCCTGCCCCCTCCTGCCTCCAAGGGCCGTGTTTTCCTTTCCCTCTCCCATATCTCCCAGCTCCCCCTTGGACGTCTAGTGGGCGTCAGCCCGAGTGGAGTCTTGGTTGTCCACCACATGGAGGAAAGGACGCTGCCCTGGCCCAGGGCTCAGGCTAAAGCCCTTATAGGCACCCCTGATGCCCCACCCCTCACTGCCATGCGCGCATCTGCAGCAAGCCCTAGTGACCCCCTCCAGAAGACCCTGGGGAACCACAGCGTACAAAGAGACAGTGGCCAGAATTTCCCCAGACTAATGAAAATCTTTAAATTCTCAGATTCAGGAAACCAGTGAGCCCAAATCAGGATCAATAAACCTAAGTCTGTAAGTAAAACACATCACAGTCAAAACACAGAACATCAGACACTCAGTGAAGAATATAAAAGCAATGCGAAGAAGATTAAAAACACAGAACACACACACAAAAAGAAGAAAACAGGCTGAGAGCTGGCTTCGTGATGGCAACAATGCTCAGATTGCTCAGAGAAGATGACCAATCTTGATGACCAATTCTGTGCCCGGCTAAGCTGCAAGAGAACAAGTTGAAACGTTCAGCAGTTACAGACCCTCAATGAAGCAACGTGTGTACTTCAGGGAGATTCAGAGGCTTCCCTGGTGGCTCAGTAGTAAAGAATCCGCTTGCCATTGCAGGAAACGCAGGTTCAATCTCTGATCCGGGAAGATCCCACGTGCTGCGGATCAGCTAAGCCCACGCACCGCAGCTGTTGAGCCTGTGCTCTGGCGCTCCAGGACCGCAACTACTGAAGCCACTGTGCTGTAGATCCCATACTTCGCAACAAGAAAAGCCACCGCAATGAGAAGCCTGCTTACTGCAACGAAGAGTAGCCTCCACTCTCTCAGCAGAGAACAGCCCTCTCACAGCAGCGAAGACCCAGCACAGCCAAGAGCATGTAAAATTATTTTTAGAAAGATTGAATGCATGAGGAAGGAAAGAGACGAGGAATGCTGAAAAACTTGGAAGCCATTGGGAATATCTAAACTCTCATTGACTGTATATAAAGCAGTCATAATATTGAAGTAATGTCTGAGTAGTAACCTAAGGTACAGCTAACATTCTGCACAGCTTAGGTAGTTGACATCAGTGGCTCCCAAGGTCTTTATACTGTTTGGGAGGAAGATGGACTAAAGTCTAAAAAAACCAGCGGTTTGGAAAGGATTTAAAGAAAATTTTAACAAACCAACAGGAGAGAGAAGCATAGGAAAATCAGAATAAATGCACATGTCCTAAGACTCTTTTAATGATAAAGAGCACTTAGAACTGCACCACATGAGATTTCCCTGGTGGTCCAGTGGTCCACACTTCCAGTGCAGGAATGCAGGGGGCACAGGTTTGATCCCTGGTCAGGGAACTAAGATCCCACATGCCACGCAGCGTGGCCAAAAAGAAAAAACTGCACTACAACTTTTTATTTTGTGCCATAGAAACTGCAAAATAAGGTTGTAAAAATAAATCCAAACATTAGGAATCATACACATAAATGTAAATGATGCAAACCTGCTAGTTTAAGATACTGTTACAGAGACTGAACTAAAATTCCAAATCCAGCTATATGCCCTGTTTATGAAATATGGGCTGAGTCACTTCAGTCATGTCTGATTCTGTGACCCCATGAACTGTAGCCCGCTGGGCTCCTCTGTGCATGGGATTCTCCAGGCAAGAATACTGGAGTCAGTTGTCATTTTCTCCTCCAGGGGAGCTTCCTGACCCAGGGATCAAACCCATGTGTCTTATAAGTCTCCTGCTTTGGCAGGCGGGTTCTTTACCACTAGCGCCTTCTGGGAAGCCCATTTATGAAATACACTACCTAAAACAGCACAGTTAAAAGTAAAAAGATGCTAACATACCAAGATAAATCTCACGTAGTTATATTAATATCAGACCAAACAGACCTCAGGCAAAAAAAAAAAGTGATAGACCCTGAAAAAGTTTTCACAAATTTGTAAGAATTCTTAGTATTAGAGTCTACATTCTCTAAGAAATTCTCAAGAGAATTGAGTTAGAATTAACAACAAATTAGTTTTTTTTTTTAATTTCCAAATATAATTAGTTTTTAAAGAACACTTCTGAATTACCATATGTCAAAGAAGAAAATGTAATGGAAATTAGAAAATATTCGGGAATTTTTTAAATCTGGATGCAGGTTACAAAAGTGGTCTTACTTTTGAAAATGCATCAACCACTTATGATTACTCACTCTTCTGTATATAACATTTCAGTAAAATGTTTACAGAAAAAACTAAAACCTTTAAAGCAGCCAGAGGGGGGAAATACTAAGTTCAAAAGTGTGACAGTGCGGTAAACAGCTTACTTAACATCAGCAACAAAGGAAGCCAGATGAAAGCAAAGCGACATTTTCAGCATGCTGAAAGAAAACTGCCCACCCAACAAAAACATTCAAGACTGAGGTTGAAATAAAAACTTTTTCAGACAAAACCGTTAGTTTGCCAGCAGCCGACTCACGCTAAAGAAAATATTAAGTTCTATTACTTCAGCCAAGAGGAAAGTAATGGAAGGTCAAGATGCAAGAAGGAGCAAGGAATAAAGTCAATACATGTGAAAACGTAAACCTAGGTTGCGTAAAACAATGTTTCCTTAAGTTAAGAAAAATGATAGAATTAAAATATACACAAGAAAAAAAACACGTCCTGAGGTAGTAAATGGAGTTAAAGTTTTCCAAGTGCATGATTGTGAGGGAGGCCAGTAAAAACACTGATGAAATCTGCATTTTTATAAGCATGCATTATTGTTCTAAGGGCTTCCCTGGTGGCTCAATTGGTAAAGAATCCACCTGCAATGTGGGGGACCTGGGTTCAATCCCTGGGGTGGGACGATCCCCTGGAGAAGGGCATGGCTACCCACTCCAGTGTTCTTGCCTGGCGAATCCCATGGACAGAGGAGCCTGGCAGGCCACAGTCCACGGGGTCGCACAGTCGGACTCGACTGAGAGACTAAGCGCAGCACATTATGTTTTCTAAGGGAATCACTAAAATAATAAAACAATTGCAATTTCCAAATGTTCCAAGGGAAAGCAATGATTTTTTTAAAGCCACACACACACAAAACAACCTAAAAGATGGCCAGAGAAGGTAAAAAGGAACATAAGGGGTAGAAACAGCAAACAAAACAATACAGTAGATTTAAACCTAGATTTAAGTGTCATATCAGTTCTGACATTAAATGTAGATGGGCTAAATATTCCAGCTAAAGGTCAGTTTGTCACGCTGGATTTCTTAAAATTCCAACTCTGTTATTTATAAGAGATGCATCAAAACTATTAAGATGCAGACAATTTAAAAATAATAGGATGGGGAAAACAACCATAGAAATACCAAGAGAAAGCTGGAATGGTTAAGTTAATATTAGACAACATATGCTTTAAGGCAAAATCTTTGCTGGAGATAGAGAGGGACATCATAATAAAAATAATAAAAGATTTACTTCATTAGGAAGATAAAATTTTAATTTGTGTGACCCTAATAACATGGTCTCAAAATACATAAAGCAAAAATTGACACAACTACAAGGATAGTTAAGTCCACAGTAAGAATGAGCAATTTAAATTCCTCTCAGCAATTGATAGAACAAGTAAACCCAAAGAAGTAAAGAGAATATTTGAACGGTACAATGAATTTTACATAATGGACCTGTATTTGTGGAACACTGTATTCAGCAACTACCGAATACATTTTCCTTTGAAGCACACACTGTGTTATAAAGCAAGACTGAAGGAAATAGTCCCTTGGCCAAATGCTGCTTAGTTAGGAATCAATTTTAAAAACGAGAAAAATCTCTATTCTTTGGGAACAAGTTTTAATAATCCATTGATGAAGGAAGGAATTCTAGGAAAATTACAGATTTTTAACTGAAAAGTAATGAAAATACTGCATTTCAAAACTTGTGTAATTCAGCTCAACTAGCACTTTGAAGAAAATTTGTGAGGCCTTAGGTTTATAAATACTAGATATTACAATATATGCTTATGTATGTTGCATATATGTAATATATAATACATGCTGCATGCTAAATCACCTCAGTTATGTCCAACTCTTTGTGACCCTATGGACTGTAGCCTGCCAGGCTCCCCTGTGCATGGGATTCTCCAGGCAAGAATACTGGAGTGGGTTGCCATGCCTTCCTCCAGGGGATCTTCCCAACCCAGGGATGGAACGGCGTCTCTTATGTCTCCTGCACTGGCAGGCAGGTTCTTCACTACTTCTGCCACCTGGGATTCCCATATACTACGACATTATGTATACAATAGGAAGACTTTTGCAGCCTCATGGGCTGTAACCTGCCAGGCTCCTCTGTCCATGGGACTTCCCAGGCAGGAATACTGGAGTGGGTTGCCTCTTCCTTCTCCAGGGATCTTCCTGACCCAGGGATTAAACCCACGTCTCCTGCATTGGGTGGCAGATTCTTTAC